GCATGGTGTTTTTTTGAGTAGTAACTGGTTGGAGAGCAACTTCTGGACATGTTCCTGCAGCAACACCCACTCTTCTAGGGAAAAGGATTATCAATGCAAATTACAGGGGTGTGTTTATTAAAGATTACTAATTTGAAAAATGAAAAATTTGCTGAGATGAATGATTGAATGGAAAGAAGATTATAAGAATCATGGAAAGCAAAAGAGGTTTTTGTTAAAAGGGAAGTTTGGAAGCTGTAATTGCTAATTTCTTTAGATTTATTCTAAAGTGCCTATTCAAACCTCCATTTCAAGCATCAAGGACTTTTCTCAAGCATCTCAAGTAATTCTATTAGAGATGTCTAATCCGTAGGTTTTTCCCTTGTCATCTAAATTTTTCCTAGAGTCACCAAAAGCCTTGAATAGCCAAGCATGGACATCAAACCTAAACCCTTCCATGAACCAAAATCTTGACATGTCTTTGGAGGGTGTGAGGACATCTGGGGCAGACCCTGAATAAAACATTTCTCTCAAAAAAGTGACACAGAACAGTAGTTTTTTTTTATTCCATGTTATATAAATCACACTCAGTCAAAAATCTCCAGTACATTTTAATTCCTTCTTCTACTGTAGGGTCTTCATATCTGCGTCTCCCATGACAAAAGCTTTGCTGAGTGAGAGTACTTAAACTTCCTTCTGCTGACTCATCTTACTCTAGCTCAAGCTAAAAAAAAATTGTGACATATATTCAAGATTTTATCTATAAATTAAACACCGATTAGAATTCAGGACTCCCCTTTCCCATGTAAATGATCCATTGGTTGCTTGAGGATTCATAGGTCCCACTGCTACTTCTTTCCAAGCCAGTGAATAGTTTCACAGCATTTTCAGCAAGAAGGAATGAGAGTACTCCCTCCAAAGTTAGAATAACTGAATTTTTAACTCTCTTCTTGAGATGGGAGAAACTTGGTTGCACCTCCTCATTACAAAAAGGTACCGGGTTTTCATAATTCTGAATAACTGCCTTGGATGCAATTTGATGGAGCTGGTACTTCCTTCTCCTCAGGAAAAAAATTAATAATCCCTGGTTACCTTTTTTTTTTTTAAAGACAGTGCTTAGGAATGGATTTAGGTTGAGATTTCTCAAATAGGAGGAGGCTGCTATCTGCTCTGTTCCGTCTAACACTCAAATATGGCTCAAGATTAGAGACCTACTGCTCATATTGTGTGCTACTGGTTCCTTATTCTACTTCACATACAGCTTGCATTTTAAAAACATAAATCTTTTTGTACCTTTGAATACAAAATTTTTACAAGGCAGTTCATTACAAACATCAGAAACCTACCTCCTCTTTTTTTGGACAGCGCTTTCAAGCTATAAGCGCTCCAAAGACGAATAGGGAAGTACAAAACCTTTACAGAGCTTAGGCAGATCAGATGAGTCAAAGACCTGATATTACTTCTCCGAATGGGAATTGATTTACACCCTACTGGGAAATCACACCTTAATCTTTGGGCTGGTTTCAGCTGGGATAGAGTTAATTTTCTTCATAGTATTTAGTATGGATCAGTATTTTAGATTTGTGCTGGAAATAGTGTTGATAATACAGGGATGTTTTTTGTTATTGCTCAGCAGTGCTTAGATAAAATGGAGGCCACCTCCTCCTACCCCATCAGTGATGAGTCTGGGGATACACAAGAAATTAGAAGGGGACACAGCCAGGACAGCTGACCCCAACTGATTAAAGACATATCCCACAAGAATTCTGCAAGGAAGGATTCAGTTACTTACCTTATTTGTCCTGGTGAAATTATCTCTGGCCCCATCTTAGCCTTTTTGACATTTTAATCTTGTAAAACTAAGACTAAAAAGCACAGAAAATAATGAGAATTTTGTCTATAGATGGAATTAGTTCATCTAATTAATTAGTAGCATTAAAAAGCACAATTTCAGTGCATAGCTGACAAGGTGTAAAAATGCAACCCATGAAACTATGCTGATTTTAACCTCTCCTGGCTAGCAGCATTTTAGTGATCCCTGCTGTATTACTTTGATTTTGGGGTTTTAACACTTATTCTTCATGGCTTTTTAGCATGCCCCTTCCTGTTCATCTGCACTGTATTCCCCTCTTCAGGAATCCTGTGCTCATTCCTTGTGCTGACAATGGAAGTTTTTTATCGCATATGAATATTCTGTATTCCTTCTTTCATCCTGAAGCAGTTCTCATGTGTGGACACTTCTTCCATGAATAAATCTTTGTAAAACTATCCCCTGCACTGTAAGGATCAATTCTGAATATGGTATGAGGGAAAAAAATCAGAGACCTGTAAAGAGAGGTAAGGCAGATTGGAACATTACAGAGCTCAGAGGATTTCTGGAAGTTAAGCTGTGAATGGCCTATCATTAATAATAAAGGAATTAAACAAAGTAGTTTCAGGATTTTTTTTCCCCCAGAGATTAAGCCTTCTGATAAATTTCTTCATATAGATTTCTGCATAGATTTCCACATACACAGAAACATGATTAGGGAGAGCTCATGACTTGCATAATGCTGTTATATGGCATAATGCCACAATTTTGGTCTCAGCGTTGCAGCTTGGGAATCTTTATCAAGTTAGGGTTAAACATAGACTATATAGTAGGGAGAGAAATTAAATATAGGTAGGATGACTGTCTTCAGTCCATTGTCTCCTCATGGGAAGAGGTTGCAATGTATTGTCATTTCATTTTATTTGGTAATTAATTTTGTGCAATATGAGTTTTGGGTTACACTAAGGGTTATACTCGGGTTACACTATTGTCTACTTGATCAGACATTGTTCTCTTCTGGTCTGAATAGAATTAGTTCCTAGTTTTCAGTATAGGATAGTTTTGTTTTTAGCATTCCCAAAATCTAGTAGGAATCTACTTAAAATACCTGGACTTTACTGATGACTAGAAGTTTCAAACAGGACAATGTTTGTCCACGTATATTTTATTAATAACATTGAACTAACTATTCAGGCTACTAGAACTGTGCTGTTTTAATCATAGTTAAAGTATGGTGAAATACAGTACAATTTTCTAGTACAGTGGAAGTGTTGTGTTAGTGCTTAAACTGCAGTAGATGGAGATCATCATCCTATTTGCTTAACTGTGCTTATCTACTAATGTTGCCACCACTGCTACTAGATGCTTTCTTATTTAGGTGTCTGAGACCCTAATTGTATTCTCTCTTCTTGCCTTTCCTACAATTAAAGAATCATAATGTTTGCTCTTCACTCACTTAAAATGTTACTCTCCTCTTGTGCTATGGCTTGAGGCTTGATAGACTGAGCTGTCACTGAAATGCTATTCAATGGGTTCTCCTCCTTCAATTGCTTTTCAGAAACAGCAGCTGCTCTCTTGCTACACCTCCATATCTCTTTGCATCCCTATTTGTTTAAACTGTGGCAAGCGAGCATGACAGCAGCCTTGGGATTTTTTGCTTTCTTTTTTCCTGGTAACTGGACTTTTGGGTCCAAATAACTTACTCATCCAAGATGAGTGAAAAAAATCCAAACCTTTCAGACACCACTACAGCCCCCTAGACATAAGCCTCTCAGCATGTTAACTGAAGGAAGTACCAGGTGACAAGTGTGACAAATTCTCCAAATAAAAACTTAAAGCATGCAACTGAATTTAAAACGGAAGTCAGAGACCTCCAGCCCTAAGTATTAAGATGTTCAGAAACAGCACTGTTGTGTGCCTTGATTTTTAATTGCTAATGTACTTTCTCTTGAGGTCCTTCTGCCAAACTCCTATGTGGACAGTTCTTCATTTATATACAAGTTAAAAAACCCACTTGCTATGTTTTCTATAGGTGTAGTCCTGAACCCTTGTTTTTGTGGTGCATGCAGTATTTCCGAAGTTATCATAACCTGAAGGCGAGGGCATCAAATAAAATGATGACCCAAGAAGATGTGGTAGCTTGATTTTGAACACATGACAAAAATCATAAAAGGAATAATTTTTTTATTGTATTAATTAAGTTGCAGGGACTGTTAAGTTAAACTTAAAATAACCCTTTTAACAGTTGTTGAGGATAATGAATTACCCAGGAGGAGTTAGAGCCTGCTGCTGCCAACTAAAGTGCTTAGAGACTTGAGATAGAAGTGAACGATAAGAAGCAGCTTTCATATATTCAAATAAATTACATGTTGGGCTTGGCTTAATCCTGGCATCAGAATGATCTCAGGGGTTTTCCCTACATTATCTTAGTCTATGATTATGCAAATATCCTTTTAATGTAGTGACTCCTTAACAGGAAATCAGTCTCATACTTGCTCATATGCTCTTATGCTCTTGCAGTCAACAGACGCTTGCAAAATCCTAGTGTGTCTGAGATACAAAAGGCACATTAACTGTTTTAAGTACCAAAATTTTGCAAACATACAATAACAGGACATGCCTGGATATGTCAGGGATATAGCAGATGAATCAGGAAAGAGATGTTTCCTAACACAAAAATATTCTTGGGTTTGAAAGTTCAATCAGAATGCAAATGGTACTAAGTTCACATTTGGTTTCAAAGACTGTAAGGAAATCAGGGGAGGGGGGACAATCTTATAGAAAAGCAGGATTGAAACTGAATAAAACATGGAAATAAGACGAAGCATAAAGACAAAAGAAATGTAATCATTAGTGTTACATGCACAGCAACCTGCAGAGCCCGGGTAATCTACTGACATAGTGCAGTGATGTTGTTTTCAGGAACTGCACTGAAATGGGGACTGTGAGGGTAACCTGCTTTGTCTGGAGAACAGGAATTTAAAAATGACATCTTAAAAGAGATGTTTCATCTGGAAAGACAGCTAGTTGGTATCCTTCGGGAGGTGAGGAACTTAAGTCATAAAAATTGTGCTGTGTTACTTGTGGTAATATTAATATGTATCTGAGTAAGCAGGAGAGCTTAGTTCCTGATTTCTTGCTTTTTTAAATTTCTTCTAGGTGAAATTAGTTTATGTAACCTTTTTTCTTAAAACTACAGGGTTCTAGTATGGAAAGAAATAGCAGTTAAGCATTTGAGGACAAACTGGTATACACTAGTGATATGTACTCAAGGTGATCCCCACCGACCTTTTTTTTTTTCCTTGATTGAAACAAAGACAGCTAAATCCTTGGGGAGCCTAATGAAATTAAGCACCTAACTTTCCAATGGGATTTAGGGTAGTATCTGATTCATTCAAGCTCTTTTGAAATTCCCATCAAAGTGAACTGTTCAAGGCATGACCTTAAGGTAACACTTGGATCAGCCACAAAATCTAGACTTCCAGCTCTTTGTTTTAAACGTAAGACCTATTCTTTCTTCTATATCCAGTGTATTCTGTTTGTAATTACCAGAAATTACCATCAGAGAAATCGGAGCTAATGTGAGGCTCATTAAAGAGCAAGAATTTATGTTTAACTATTTTAAAAAATTCTTGTTGATCTGGTTTCTGGAGATTAAACCTGTAATTTTATCTGTCATAGATGAGAGAAACTTGCTAGTACAATAGCACAGTATCTTAAAAGTAAAAAAACCCAACACACATATGCAAGTATATATAGAGAGAATGTTTGTAAATGCTATTCAGACTACGTGAATTTCCACGATTCCCCATTAAATCCCATCTAGACAAACCTGCTAAGTCCATTTTCTGTACTGAGCACTAGCCAGTCACTAGTTTTCTTCTGACTGTTCTAGCAAAATCTAGTAGATGCTAGATTAAGTCTTGAGACTATAGAAAAGATTAAAAATTTAATATTTGGAAATGCTTTTGATTTCAATAGATTAAAATCCCAAGAAACAGACAATGGTTGTGGTTACACTCGAGGTTTCACCTCCAAAATAATTTTGCAATGGTGCACTCAGTATGCTGAACCCCTAGCACTCAAATTTAGCAGAAACATGACCCTGTGCTAATGATGTCAACCAAAAAATAGTGAGATTTTATTTATCATCTGATTTACATAGTAAAACCTTGGGTAGTACCAGGATAAATGCCTGACAGCTCTTTTCAAGATTCAGGGACTTAAAAATTTGCTCTTTTAAAAATCATGTTGGGTAGTATTCTTCTGGAGTAACAGCTTTTAACATGAAGCTGGCTTGAAATTAAGCCAAATATACAGATCCACCGACTTCTATGAAAGCTTTAAAGAGCTGGTAGCAAAGCGCAGTCACAGGCACCTCCACACACTCTGCTACAAAAGTCTCTCAGCTCAGAGGGCTCTGGGTCTGTAAGGCACAATTTAAATTTCACTTAACAAGTAGGCAAAGAAAACAAAAACAAAGCCTGCAAGGGTTCACCTCTCCTTAGAACAAAATCTAAATGAAAGTCCAAAGCAACTTGAAAAATGAAGCATTCTCCTAATTTCCTTATTGCTTACAAATCTCTAGAGATAACTCTCTTCCGTAGGAATGCATAAACTTGTATCTGCTCAGAGCTTTTTTAACAGTTTTGAAATTAGGAAGGATTAGTATCGAACTGGGTATTTTTTTCTGCTGCTTGATACAATAGTAATCCATTTATCGTGCTCCAGGGATTTTTTTACCAATTTGCCATCTCCTGTAAAACAGCAAGAAATTGTTGCAAACCTATTTGCCCAAAAAGCATGGCAAAAAACAACCTAGAAGAAGGCTACTAATGTATTTGTATTGTTCCATTAGACAGTGAGCTTTTTTAATGTTAATTTTTAAATTACAATTTCAGAGATAAAGCAAATAGGATGCCAGTTGTTCAGGCACTACAGCTTTCACTACAGAACATATATTGGCATCATAACTGCTTACTCTAAGTTACGAGTTCTATCTCTTTATGTTTCAAGATGCTGTATTCTGCAGTTTTATTTCCTTCTTGGAAAGCAAACAGGATGTTTTGTAGGAAGTTACTTTTATTGAGAAATGTTGGAACTTAGCTTTTTGGATGAGCCACTTGAAATGGGAATTATGTCATTTTGACATAAGCCTATCTGGTGATACTAAACCTAGATAATCGGCTCAATGGAGATCAAGCTTTTCCTGCAAACATATAAAAATATCTAGCTGGCTTATTAGCCCACAATTCCCATCAGAAAGTGATATACACTTAAAAATTATGTGAGCTTAGAAGTTTTAAATCACATGATCAGTTTTCCTATTTTTGTTCTACATAATTGGATCTGAACTGGAGGAGCTTTCTGAACACTCCAGAAAACAGTAATCATTTCACAAGTTTATGAGCCACCAAAGCTGTAAAGGCACTAATTTCTTTGATGAGAGTTCACATGAGAAGAGTGCATTTAGCTCAGTTCTATATCACTGAATGGGAATCCAAACATCTTGGAATCTTATATGACAAAACTTTTTGACTACTATAGAAATTGGATGTTTTACACAAATTTTAGAAAGGCTACAGAGTGGCAAATTGGAGCTGGATGAGAAAGTGAATATTTGTAATTAACATGACCCTAGAGGAATATATTTGGCAAAAAAACCTTTCCTCATGAATGTTCTTTTATATTTTGTCATTATACATGCAAAATAAACCAATACTAAGTGTAAATATACTGCTTTATACGTTCTTTATACTTACAGAACATTAGTATTATGGAATTATACAATTATGATCTATTCTGAAAGCATCATCAGAATACCACAGGAATTTACTTTTTGCAGAAATCAGGCAGTTCAAATATTTACCACTGACAAACAAGTGTCTAATACTGAAAAAATGTATTGATAAACATACAACCTGCAATAAGGTAGTGATAACCACTATTTCACAATAACCAAGGTCACTCCCCCCCATAATGCTTAAAGATTGCACATTGCAGGTACAGCACTGTATAGTAGGGAAAGACAAACATGGCCAACATTTCCAAGACATTGAACTTAACTGTCATCTCCATGAAAAGGGGAAAGTGTTGTCTGCCATCTCCAGTATCAGCCATCTCATCTTTTGCCCTGGTTCTGGATCTCTTTGAACCCACCTTTGACTTGATCCAACATTTTACCAGTGCCTTATTAGGAAACAATTTAGTAATTTTCTTTCCCCCACTCCCACAGTAGTTTCCTTTTAGGTTGAAGAGTTAATTAACTTCATGGAAGCTCAAAAAAGTGCCAGAGATGATGTAGGGGAAAGTGGCAGGAATGCAAGGCCCCTAGCAGAGAACACGGTCAGTCAGTGCTCACCCTGCCTCAATTCCCCCTTGGGAATAAAGTCTCAACGCTCAATCAGAAAACTGGTCACTCAAGGCTTACACTCAAGGCCACTGGGGAGCCACTGCAGAAGATCTTGAAAGACATTGTGTCATAAATATGCGATACGATGTTTTAATGAGCACTTTGATTAAATCTACCTTAGGGGGGCTAAGCAGAGGTCATAAAAAGCTGTCTTAAAGTTGCAATAAACAAAATCTTACTCAAAGTGAAGGAATGTAAAGATGTAAAAACCAGACAAGACCCAGAGCAGTCTTTCAGTAATAACTACAAAATATACACTATAAAATTATGTGTTTCCTACTCATTATAATGACAATTAGGAGAATTTAAAAATACATATGCTACAGGCTTAATTAAAAAAAAAACCAACCCTATGAACATGGCATGAAGGAATCACAGTTCAAACAATGCTTTAAACTTTATTAACTTCTAATTAAGGGGTTGTCCTCACTTTTTTCCTGAAGAATAAAAGCTACTATAACTTTCAGAAATAGAGAGTTATAACAACTTAAAGGATGTAGAATTACAGCAGGATCAGCCAATGCAGATTGTTGAAATATCCATTTTTAAGGCACACAAACAAAATGTCATGTTAGTTCTCCATAGTTGTTCAAAATCTTTTTTTTGCATCTCAATTTTCATTCCTCCTACTGTAGCACTTGACAGGATTCATAAATAGCAATTCAGTTGTTTTGAAGTCTCCTTTTCTTTTTGGATGTGTTGAACAGTCAAAACCGCCTGCTGGCATCTGTCAATCCCCTGAGTATAACAGCACCCCCTTCTGGCTTCAACAGCATGAGCTGAAATCTGGAACTCCCATCACCATGTAAGAAACCTGTACAGGAGAAACAAGGTAAGAGCGAAAATCTTCTAAAACTAGGCATTCAGTCATAATAAGTAGGCAAAGGAATATTAATGCCACTACATTAGCCCAACCTATTCAACTGTAGGGGCTGAGGTGTAATTTTAGAATGGTTCTCATGGGCCATGAGGTAGTTCTGTGCAGGTATGGCAGCCAGCATGTCTTTATCACTGTATGCACTGGCAGCACTCCAAATGTCTGCTAACACAGAGATTCACTGACAGGAAGCCTCCTGTCCAGCTGCTTCATCCTCCAGTGTGGGCATAAAGGCTAATGATCCAAGTCCCCGTCTGTTCTGGGCTCATGCAGCCTGAGCAACCATGTGTCATTTCTTCTGATGAAAACGTGGTGGGTGCAGTGGATTATCTGATAGCACAACTCTGCAACAAGTTAGTCTATCCTGTTTAATTACACCACCACTTTGGCCAAGAAGTCCTTTTATAATCTCTGTACTGGAATCTTTTAACTTGCTTACGTTTTCAGGAAGAGGTGTCTCAAACTCTGAAGTGTTATGCTACCGCTGTGTTTTGCCATACCAAGCTGTACATTGCTTTTGTGAGAACTGTTTCAGGGATCCTTCGTGTTATCTGTGTTATCTGTGTGCTTTTACTTTGAACAATTTCTTATGAAAACTTTCAAAACCGATCATTGCTACACTAGAAAACAGAAAGTCAAGGTAATTCGCTGCCTGAGGTAAACAGGTGACAGTAACCAGTGAAACTCTAACTGCAACCAGCCAAGTCTGCTGAAGGAAAAAACCAAATCCACAAAAACCCCCAACCAATCCACCATACAAGTAACACCAGGGATGGACTGATATCAAATCTGATCCTGCAAGATGAAGAACAACTGTGGGTGTTTAGATGTCTCTGTATAGATTATTTTACCATGCTGGGGTATTCTTAGTCCACTGCTTTTACTGGTAATGCTTGATACTGTTTTGTTTTAAAAAGCAATTGCACTCCATGCTGTAAATAGGTGCTAAATACGGACAGAACAAACTCGACTATTAATACATATTTTTTTTGTTGTATTGTATGGAAAAGGAGCTTTATTTCAGGCACAGATATAATTGCAGTGGTAACAAAGCAGACTGGGGGAAGATGAGCAATACTGAAGTTTCCTGAGTGGGAAAGAAGACTGAAGTGATGGTGTCATCTGTAGTCCCTCCCTCCAAACAGATCATCTTTACAGATAAATTCACACCTGAATATAAATGTTGTTGACATTTACAAGATCCCGTTTTCTCCGGCTGGATGTTTTGAAGGATCCAGCCCATGCTGCTTCATCTGCACTGCGATATCAAACAGGTAATCATAACACTCACACCTAAAATTAATAAGGTAAAAAAGTGAAATGTTAGTAAGGCTCAAGTCTTACCATGTTTTATGAAAACTAGTATTTTCCTTCCTTAAGCTTTATATCACCAATGCAATAGTCTGAATGGACAGCTCTATTACTGTTACTTCCAACACTGTGGTATGGAAAGTGCCCAGCATTTTTGTTGCATTTCTATCAGCAGATGAAGTAAATTCCAAAACTGGTACTAGGGAAGACTACACAAACAGTATTGGCAGGTGTCATATAAAAGCAGGGATTGTCTGCAGGTTTCATATGAGGAAGGACTTGTCCATATGAAAGGAAAATGTTGGCAACCTTATTAGCCAACACTGATATGAAAGAAAAAGCAAACATTGGAATTATAGATGAACCCACTCCCAAAAGCTCCCCATACATGCAGTGAGGCCTTAATGTTCTGAATCATTGTCAATGGGTTGAAAATACACATGACATTAAGTTCACTAAGGTTTTGAGGTATAGCAGCAAAAGACAGCACGTTGCTAAATTGTACTCACATCGTTTTGGCTTTTTCCCATGTTCTTCCCCACACGTAAACACCGTGACGTCTGACCAACACAGCACAAGAGTCTGGGTATTTTTCCATTGCACGTGCCATTCTTTCCTTGAGATCCTTCTCTTCTGGTGTATTTTCAATAATGGGAACCACTAGTGTATCATCATATCTGAAAGAAAAATGAATGTTCATGTATTTAAAAAAACCCTGTGCTTGGATCTATGAAGTTTTTCCCTAAGAAAGAGATTCTCCTTTGACTGTGTAAAGATGTTAATAAATTTTCAGCACTAATGATATCTTCTCTTGTGAGTCATGCTGTAACATAGGAATTCTCAGGAACATCTCTCACTCCCAAACACATACTATGCTGGCAATACCTGAGCTACACTTGAGGCACAAAAAGAAAATAACACTTTAATCTATTAGGTGTAGCTGTTTATTCACATATCACTTTGTAGTTGGGTCTCTTTACAACTTTTTCAAACTCTCCATCCTGTATTGGCATCACTTACAAGCTTTACCTCAGATTAAATTATTTAAAAGAATCATATCATGAAGAAGGAAATGAAGCTGTTTGCTGGAGAGCAGAAAAAAATTAATCCAGGTAGTCCAAAAAGCCCCTGGAAGATTGTCCTTCTAAGGCATATAAATAGAAAGTAGAGTCAACACATGAAAAATAAATTCTCTGTGATGGAGTCATTGGTGGGCTACATGTGATCTTAAGAGAGCCTCAGAACCCCAGTTCCAAAGACAAGATTATGCATGTTACTCAGTGGAACTTGCCTAAGAGTTCTTCTGAAGGAGGACTGGGATATTTGGCATTGTTTGAACCTTAATTAACACTGGCAGAAACTTGTTTAAATAGTTTTAATAAGTCCCCACTTCGGGTTCAGGTTTATCATTGAGATCACTTAGATATTTCATGAGTGGATGCTAGTAGTACTTACTTTTATAAAACACAGAAAGAAAGCAATGGTAAAAAACCCCAAAGCAACAGCTTGTACTTCAAATCAAATATTCAGAAAATTAAAGTCTCATCCCTTACAGTTTTCAATGCTGATACTTTCTCAAGGAAGCTATAAAAATAGTGAATGAAAAAAATTAAGTGGCATTTGCAGTTTGACTCATATATACTGATCACCAAAACTAGATTTGAGGCCAAATGAGCTAATGGATTGGCTTCCTAGGTTCTGCTTTCTACGTGAGTTTGGATGCGGGTATAAATAATATAACTGATCCCTAATGATAACCATAAGCTTTTTATCAAAAACTAGTATCTATAAAATGTCAAGAAGACTCTGAATGAGCTAAATACTTGATATGTCTTTAGTTTTATGGAAATATAAGCAGCCTACATTTAGTCAAAACTTAATTTAAAATACCTTGTCATATCTGGATTTTCAAAGCTGTTTACTACTGATCTAATTCTCCTTCTACAGAAGTTGAAAGGAAAATTACTCTGGCATCACTGGAGTCGTATTTAGGCAAAAAAATACTTCTGATTATCATATCTGTAGCGTTTTCGTGGATAGCTTCCAATTAGAAACAACACACTTTCAATCCCTTTCTTGAAAGGTTCCATTTTCTACTATCAAATTTCTTTGGAATTCAACGGGGACCCTTGTGTGAGGCAAGACAGTGGAATCGCTCTAGTATGGATAAATATGTGGTTATGAACCATATAACCTGAAGCTTTGATTTCTTCAGTTTTTCTGGTAAATTAACAGGGTGATACCAGACAACTTGGAGATATGGAACCCGATAAATATTATGTCTCCTGACCAAAATACGATGTCTCTTGACTAATATGTAGCAATATTTGAGAGTTCAAAATGCATATCCAAAACAGAAAATTGATGTGGATGTTTTTAAAACTAGTGTTGTTAGAAAATTCAATACAAGGGATTGTATTTTGCCACATTAAAAATGCACATGCTAATGCTGACAAGAAGGTAAAGGTTGGCAAGTTAACCAAAATGGAACAAAATATGCTTGGGCATAAAATCACATACGGCTTGCTCCCTTGCCAAAGGGCAATAGTTAGATACAAAAATTAACATCAAAAAGTGGAAAGAATTTAACATTTCAATTTCTCATCTACTTGTCACATGTTATATAAATGTTGTTTGCAGATCCCAATTCAACACTCTGTGGGTGGAGACCTCAAAACAAGCCATCACACATAATTTGGAATAACTCAGCACTTACCTCAGAGCTCATCCTTGAAAAGTAATAACATTATCTTTAATGAGCTGTTTATTCTGAATTCTCTTTCAAACTCTGTCAAGTAAAATCTGAAATCCTCTACTCTCTTAACATGCCCTAAACTAGCACAGGCAGTGATATGTGAAGTCCACCCGAATGTAGTTTTCACATGCTATCAATGCAACCTAATGTTGGTTGGCTCCAGTTTCAGCTTAACACTGTATAGATGTGTCAACATCTCAGGATGTAGCTCTTTATTTGGTTTGTTGCTGTAGCTCAACAGACCACAGTAGCCTTGACATTACAATATTTTATCTCAGATCTCTTCCACAGGCTTGCGACCTTACAGAAAGCCAATGACTCATTTATTCCAGAGGTCTTTTTACTTCTTATTCCTAACATTTTATATTACACACTTTAATGCACATAACTTGAATAACTCATCATCTATTTGTATTGTTGAAAACAAATGATCAAATATCATGCCTCTTTTCTTAAATATAGAGAAGTACCTGTAATAGCCTCCCGAAGTACACTTCTGGATTCCTTTTATCATCTCCTGATGGGTAATACGGAACTCAGTCCCTGGGTAAAGAAGGGTAGCCATAACAGCAGCCTTGGAATGAGTATGGATCACTGCACCTGCCCCTAAGAACACAAAAAGAAGAAAAAAAATTTAGAATTAATTTAAAAATGAATCTATTAGAAAAATTTTATTCACATACTTGATTAATTTCCTTTGATTGGGTCTCTTAGCAAACGGTGATCTACTGCATTAGAGGAAAAAATATACAGCAACCTAAATGAAGATATGAGATCATTACTCACCTATAAAGGATAGATTGTCTTAGGACACTAGTGTTAACTTTTAGTTAGTGACAAATTCCAGGAGACAAACTACTTGTACAAATTCAAGGAGAAACACTACTTGTACATTTCTTTACATAGTGCAATGACTGAAACACACTATTTATTTTATCAGAGTTCTGAGATTTTAAAGAATTCCCAAACTTATTTGTGAAATGAAAGTTTAGAGACTTTTACTTTGTTTTTATGTCTTCTTCAATTATCTACTGACTCTCTGAAAAAACATTTGTCATTACCTTACTGTGTCATGATGGAAAAATGGGCAGACAATAATTATAATCTACTTATAAAGTTGCAATGTTGCCATTCCTCAGGTACACATGTAAGCTTCTTGTGCAGGAAGACCTGAAGAGACTTCCTAAATCCTTTCTAAAACAACAGATGTAAATCTTACACAACATCAAAAGCTCACTATTACTGTCCACCTGCAAGAGAAAAGTTTCATACCTTTTTCACCTATTCATAATTCATAATTGTTAATCTCAGCCAATGGATGCAATGGGATCTAAACCATAGCTGCTGGATAGGCAAAACTACTGGTTTAAAGCTGCTGTAAATCCCCCCACAACCTACCAATATATTGCACTAAAAATTAGTGATGATGATCACAAGAATAGCTATACAAGAAGATAAAATTGTAAATTGTAAATGACACTGACAGGATGTTACTACGGATTCTCTTCCATTGTATATATATCTGTGCAAATCGATTTATTTTACAGTTTCATGTTTATTTCATTGTAACTTCTATGTATAAAGAATATGGTATTGAATATCAATTTTGTGGATGTACATTTACAGTGTTTCAGACACGGATGAACTAAAAACATTTGCTACATACCTCTCATAGTGTAGGCGTTCATAAAGAGAGGTGTGCACTGGCTTTTCTTTAGCTTCTTGTGCAGTGGAGGACCACTGATGTCCTGCTCATTCATGTCACAAACAAACATATCTTCTGGCTGTAAGAATGAAGAAACTATTTTGACCTGTGATGACTTGAATAGCTTTGTTTTCCTTCTAGGGAAACAAATACATATGCACCGTATATTTAATATAGAATGTGATTTTAACTTTATAAAAGTGCTGGAATGTACCACATTTATTCTAGCTGTTAATAGTACTTACTGACATTGTGTAATGGGAATTAATTTTAGGTACTCTTTTTATTATGAGGGATTTTAAGCAGGTATTTGTAAATCTACAATTTGCTCAGAAAGGAGACAGCCTGTACCTAAATAACAGAAAACAGATCAAAAGGAAAAGTAGTAACTGATTTAAAAAAAAAAGAAATGTAGATGTATTTTTCCTTCCCCACTTAAAGAACCAACAAAGGACACAAATTAAACTTACAAATAATCTATTCAACTTGTAGAACTATTTCTTTTAAACCTTGCTTTTAGTAGCTTTACATGAATGGTACCTTTGCATCAATTAGATACTCGTAATAGTACAAAGAATTGTCCAGGGCAGTAATAAAACTTTCTTTTTTTAATGTTATTTTAACAGTCAGCAGAAAATACATTTGCAAGAGATTTCCTCACTCACTGCACTCAAGCCACTGCTACTGATAGCACAGAAGAGACCATCATGGTTATCTAATGTACCTCTGCCTGCCTTCCTTGTTCACATCCCCAAACAATGCTGCTAAGCCCTGCGTTTCTATCAATGAAGGGATTCCTTTTACTCCTCATGGTATTTATCCTCAGATCTATGAAATGATAAATCCTTTCCACATATTATGCTATTCTGGGGGAGTTCCTGCTGTCATCAAATAGTAACCATTTACCATTCTCCCCTTCGCTTACATTTTGGGGTTTTTTTTGGAAAAGAGACAGATAGACAAGGTCACCTTTTCATGGGGAGAGCCCAAATATTTACTGAGACTATCAAGAAAAATATTTGTAATCACTCAAATGAAAATAAACAGTGACGAGGCGTTAATGCTTCTTTATGTATGTGCCAGAGTAACTTGAAACTGTGGCCAGACAGCTGTAAAGATACTCAAGCTTGACAAAGAATAAAGCTGCACTTGAGTTCAAATCTCACACAATTTGTGCTTATTTAAAGCAAAGAGATCTTCAAGACTAATATACACTGGCCACTGAAACACATACTGACTTGCTATGGTAGTGGAGTACTGGGAGAAATCAGCAGTTGTTTCAGTAAGCTGTTTCAACAACGCAACAAGTTTCCAAGTTTACATAAGAAAAAAATGAAATTCTAACCAAAGGCACTTTCCTGTATTTCAGGATGAGCTCTGAGGTAAAAGTACAGCTTAACGTACCTGTATTCTTTCCTTTTGGACTCCTGAAGGAGCGATGTAGATTTCATTCCTATGAAAAGTTGCAGACGGGGAAAATCAGTAAACACAGCTGAACAATGACTTTCCAACTGCACTTGATCCTTGATCCTTGAAAAGGAAATAGCAAATCTAGCCCCTAAGAACTTTCTTGCTCCTTCTATACATTGACATGTAGATGGTCATCAAAATAGAACCAAATTGTAGAAGAGCCTATAAAATCTTTAACTTGCAGGGGTACAAACCCCTGCTTTCACCTTTGTAAGAGGAAGTGCAGCCTTATTGTTCCTACCCCCAAAAAAAAAAAGCCTCTCCCTTCAATAATTCAAATTCTAATTTCCAGAATTCAGAATAAAAATTAAATGAGAAACTGCAAGCAGATACTGATCTGTGGCAAAGCAAGTCACAAAACTATTACTAAAAAATCCACAGACTACCTATAAACAGTAATAATTATCTGTAGCATTCTTCAATATAAATACTTTACTTTTTAACTGTGCAGTTTAGGTTTTTTGTGCAGTTATAAATCTATTTGTATTGATAAAGAGATAACACTGATACAATGAAATTAAATGAAATTCAAGTAGAAGTGCATCACTTCTTGCAAGGTCTACATGAACAAAAACCACAAAAATTGATTTAAATTAAAATTATTTTAAGATGGTGTCTGAATTATTCTCCATATTAGCAAAAAACTCCAACTACATTATCTCTCTCAATTGTAATCACTATTTGGCTTCAACAGTCACACAGTAAATTCAGGAGCATAGAGACATCTAGTGAATAATTAGCCAAGTTACAGATACATTTCCTACAGACCATGAGAAGTTTGTATTCCTGGACAAGAGCAATGGAGCTGGTGAAGGGTCTGGATCACAAGTCTTATTAGGAGAGACTGAGGGAGCTGGAGTTGTTTAGACTGGAGAAGAGGAGGCTCAGGGGAGACCTCATCACTCTCTACAACTACCTGAGAGGAGGTTGTAGCCAGGTGGGGGTCAGACTCTTCTCCCAGGTAACAAGTGACAGGAGAATCGGAAATGGCCTCAAATTGCACCAGGGGAGGTTTAGATTTCATATTAGGAAAAGGTTTTTCACTGAAAGGGTTATCAAGCATTGGAACAGGCTGCCCAGGGGAGCAGTTGGCTCACCATCTCTGGAAGTGTTCAAAACACTTTAGGCATGGTGATTAGGGATGTGTTTTAGTGGTGAACTTGGCAGTGGCAGGTTTATGTGGACTCGAGGATCTTAATGGTCTGTATCAACCTAAACAATTCTGTGATTTTAATTCTTCTAAAAATAAAAACTCTTAAGATGATGTATATCCATAGGGGTAAGATGTCTGTGAAGTACATAAAAATATAGCTTTATCATATTTGTAATTTTTAACATTCATGAATCAACACTGCCAACATTGCATTAATTTAGTCCTTTGCGTGAGCAAGATGACTGAGAGAGCGACATGGAGAAATCAAGTGGTGATTCAGTTACCAATGAAAGACATGCAACTTTTTTTAAAAACAGACTTTTTTCTTTTTAACAAGAAAGGAAAACTCTAATGATGAAATACAGCCTTCAAAATACAAGATATCTGACAATGAATTTTAGATCCATTTTTTAGTATGTTAACTCACGTCCAAAGTGGTATTTTTTTTTCTGAATAGTTGATATGAACAGTGAGTAATGCTGATTAGAATTAGCTGGTAAAACCAGTAGTTATATTTTAATCAAATTGTAATTGTTCACTATTTCCTATGTAACAATTCTAAGATAGTCTGATCTCTGCCTTATAGCTACTCATTTTGTAACAAAGCTACTGCTACTGTAGATATAAAGTAGTATAGTACACACACATAACTATTCCTAGACCATGTACAATATTGATATCAACTAAAACATGTATTTATTTAGGTGTAGTCTGAGCAACCAAGTAACAACTGCTGAGGAAAACTATACTACTGTGTTAGTGAATTCTCTGATAATGCCATTTGTCTTGCCACAACCAACATGAGTCACACTGAAATGACAAAGAAAATAGGCTACATTTAGCTACTGATGACAAATTAGTGCTAGAAAGATCCTTCCAGAGACAGCTTTGAAAACAAAAAATAACCCTCTTATCATTGCTCACATTGTTATTACTGCTCTTGCTTTGCTGGCAAAAATCAAGCAGGGAGGTGAGATGACCTGCACAAAGTCCAAACGGCACAAATATTTGCATTTAGAATCTTTTCTTCTATATAAAAAAATATATATATATAATATATATTTGAATAGCAATGGCTGTGCATGCATGCATGCAAGTGTATATCAGAAAATGAAAAGTCAGACACTCTCAAGTTAGTATCACAACCCTGTGACTGGTGACAGAATTGCAGGCTCTGTGTAAGGCATTTTGCAGAACGAGAACTTTTTTTCGTGGCCACTGAGAGGAGCCCTGTCTCCACAAAAGCTTGGAAATTATGAATGCGGGGAGACAAGCAAATTAAAACACAAAGCAGTGCTTCTTAGTAGCAGATACACACCAAAAATTGTTGCTATTACCTCAGTAGAATAGTAATCTCCTGCTTAAAGGAAACTACTTGCCTGCAAAATGTCTAGGGTGAGACTGATCTCAATTAACCACAGGCATTTGAAAGCCTTGTGCCTGGTGTAACCCACTCTAAATTCCATAGTCAGCAAAATGAAAATGAGGGAATGCATTGTGCTTTGAAGACAATTCATCTACCTTAAACAAAGATAGGAAAAGGACAGAAAAAAGTCTCTCTCTGAAGTTGTCTCTCCCCACTGAAGGGATTGCAGTGATTAATCCAGACTAGTCAGCTCCCTTTTGTGTGGTTAAATTTGACAGACTGTTCATTTCCCCCTCCGCTTTCTTGCTCACTCCTGACTTTCATTTTTCATGGAACTGAAATGCCCTCACCAACTGCTAAATGCAGCCAGCCCCTCTCTAACCATCACATTGTTTCTCTTTCATCATTACTTACCCATGTTTCAAGCTGATTCCTCCACCAGTTCCTGTTACCCAGCCTAAATCATAAAACAGTCTACAAAGCTCTGGGATAAGATTCCTTGGATGTAACTTATCCTAAAAATAAATTAAAGAAATAAATAAAAAACATCAGATATGCCACAAACCTAAGAATTTAAATTCCGAAACTGAGTTTAAAGGAGTAGTACTGTCGTACTGCCATACAACAGTCTAATTTATGTTTTCTGTGAATTTATTTTGCTTGATTTACAAATTTCAGCAGAACAGATTTTATTAGTTGTACATTTTTAAACAGCAGTCAAAAATAGCATAGAAAATATAGGCAAATTATTTTGTGAACTTCATATTCCTACATTTTTACAATATGAGGTTACTTCACATGCAGTTTAGCCAGAAGGTAAATTGCATTATTTTAACATTTCTTTCAGAAGGAAGTTCTTAATTTTTCCATATTCCATTGTTTATTACATCAATGAGTAAATCTGTGTCTATATATTAACCAAAGGTATCTGTAGTGTCAGAGATTCATTGATAGTTAATCTAAACCAGAACCAAGCCAAAACTATTTATTGGAAATCCTAAACATGATCCTGCACTGAATATATACAGCTAAGAAAGCTGTTCCTAACAGGTAGTGGTCTTTAATAAGTGAGTACTACACTGAAAAACAAAAAATTTTGAATATTGGAATCATTTACATGAGAAATGTAACCAGTAATCACAGAGAAAGCTGTGAGATGCTACTTTAATCCATTCTGTGTGCTTGAATTTATGCATGTACATATTGTCTTGAGTATTTCTGTTAGCTTATGTGAGAGAATAAAAAGCCAAAATCTTTCCCCCTTTACCAGTGTAAAAATAAAAATCATATTTGCTTTCACAAAGATCCTGATATGACTGAACCCATCAACCAGGAAATTAAAAGTAGAGAAACAGAATAGTATATTTATGTCAATTCATCTCCCAGGGATGGGGTAATATTTCCACCTACACTACCTCAGTAACACAGACACTTTTTTTCTTGTATGGGTTTCCTGTGAACTGGCATTCAGTTCAGATGCTATTCCTGCCTCCTCTGACTTCCTTTCTATTATTGAAAGTATCTTTTAATATATTAAAAAAATCATCATTTTACTCATTTGAAGCAAAAGAAACAAGACTCTAACCAGCACTCCTGGAAACTCATGAAGTCAAGAACCACAAACTGAACTCTCACCAGTTCACATTACCTGAAACAATTAGGACAGCAGATAAAAGCGTACATGAAGGAAAAAAGACCCCAGGCCAAATAAGCAAACACCTAAACTAACAGTGGAAAAAAACCACGTGAGATCTTCCCCATTCACATAACTGAAAATGAAACCACTACTTTCCAGCTCTTTGTCATTGAAAATAATAAGATAAATGAAGTTTACTCTGACTAGTGAAACATTTTTCAAATACTAATGACTCTGAAATGTACTGTGAACTGAAAACATTAATGTATGTGTCATATGTTTAAAAATATAAAGCAAGCACATAGTATGTGTAAACTATGAGTCCCTGTTTTGTTGTTCTGATTTATTTATACAGAATTAATGGCTGTACATAATTTTTATCTATTCACCTGTCTCAAAACTGAGTCCCACAGTATCTTGTGTTGACTCTTATTCAAAATTACATCCTCTATTTCATTTTTATTTCTAACCTACGTAGTACACTGGTATTTTTTCACTTCGAAGAAAAATTATGTCTCTTCTATTTTTGACAGGTTTATATTGCTATTGTTAATTAAATGTACACAGCCATAACAAAACCTAGATTATAACACTCCTATAGTTGTTACATATTTTCCCTGTTTGATGAATCTAGACATTTACTGAAAAATTCATATCCATGGAAGAACATAAGTGCTTTTCACCACTTATTAAAAAGAATTTCTAGAAGTTCAGAAATTCCTCTCATCAAGAATAAACATAATCAAGAATTTTTTACTATTTTTCTGCAGATTTCCAGGATTACAAATCAATTCACAGAGTTTAACAGCATTTTTCCAGGATAGGTAGATGTTGATGATAACCATAAACTATCTAAATAAAAATATTACTGTATTTCATATCTAAAATTACTGATAATAAAAATGACAGTACTTTCCATAACTACAAAAATGGTTCTTGCTCTAATGAGCCTGGGAGTGAACACATGGGAAAGCAGGAGGCAACTCAACAGGATTATCCTTGTCAAATCTCAGTTGGAAGCACTTTAGAATTTGATTTATAAGTTGAAGTACAGGTGCCACTGGGTATGCCTTCCTTCCTATTTCTCAGTCAGAATCTGGCCCAGTAGTTTTCTGATACAGGTAACATGAACAGTTTAGTTCTCTGTTGCTATGCAGTTGTCATCTTAGCATAAATTTATACATGCTATTAGGTATGAAGAAAAACTCCAAGAACTTCCATGAACTAAAAGAAGTGACTAATTTTTAAAACCATTAAATATTATGTAGAAAACAAATTTGCTGGTAAACTTCTGAACAGAAACTGAGTGGAAGTATTCACTGAAAATTTTCAGCAGTCAAATCTAAAAAAATGATTGTATTCTACAAGCCTGTGTTTGCTCAAGGAAAAATATTTTTTTCCTATTTTATTCAAATCACTGTACCTAATATTTCAAAACCAAAGCAAAACAAACCCACTCTCCCAACCCAAAACCCCAGAAAACAACATGGATCTAATAGAATGAAAATGAAGGCAGTCCCAGGCTGCTTGTGGAACAAATTCGTAAAGGTTTTGGGGATAATTTGCAAAAGGTGTAAAACTGAACTACAATGTGGATATTTTTACAGATTGTATTAAATAAAAATAAACAGTGCCTGAATTAAGTATCCCCCATTCAGAAATTGCTGAGAAATCACGTATTTTCCTCAGAAATAAGCATAGACTGCACAGATGAAATCACACCACTGATACATCATATTGATGGGCAGTAAACCATGATGAGGTTTCCTTGAATAGCCATGAAGTGATAAGTCTGATGTGGTAAAACAGATCTGTGCTACACTGTACACATGAAGTGAGAAAAGTACAACAAATAAGCTGGGAGATATCTGTTTAAAATCTGTCTTCAGCATAGAAATGGATCAAATAAATCAAAATAGAAAAAATAATGTCATGAGTCTTCAAAAAAAATTATTTTCTACAACATGTTCAGCACCACACAGTGCAAAAGGGAGGGTATTTTTAGGTGAGAAACAAAATAATTCTAATGAAGAGACAGGAAAGCAATGTGGTGAGAATTCCTCCTCCGCTAAAAGCTTTGGACTGTCAGTTTTTGTAGGAACTACGAACCTCCCACTGAAAATGATAATGTATGGCCTTTTCAAATTTTTTTATTGCAGTAACTAGAAGATTTAATAGTTTTTTAAAATGACAAATGATTAGCTGCTCTACTGCCCACCTTAGTCATTTATGCCCATGAAAGGATGTTTCCAAGACAAACGTTATTTTAGCAGCAAGAATCCACATTAGAGGGGAGTATTTTGTCAATACCCACAAAAGAGAGGGAACAAAAGCAAAAGAAAAAGCAGCACAGCAAAACTGGCAGGCAGTTGGTTAGTTGGTACCAGTATCTTTGCTGAAATATTTAGAAAAAAGTGCTGCTGTCACTGCTGTCCCCCATCACTCCAATGCCCCAGTGACTCTAAAGCTGAATGCTGAGTGATTCTTGAGGGTCTAAAGGTTGTAAGAATCAAGCAAAGGGGAATTGGGATTTTGTGACACCTCAAGACTGTCTCCTGGCCCACAGAACCACAACAAGCCGAGGTTTTGCCTAATGCAGTCCCTCTGAACAGACAGAACACCTGCACACTGTTGCAGCTGCTGGAAGAAAATGCTTCCAGTTGGTGTTGGACTTGCAGAACGAGATGAGGGGAGGCACAGGTGCAAGAGCACAGCAGTGGTTCTGAGGCAGGAGACAGGGAAGGTGAATTAATGGAGATGGCAGCCTGGGGCAAGCTTGACAAGGTTTGGAGTGTCCTACTTTAACCTCATCTTTACAACCTCCAACAATAGCAAGTCACAGGATCCTCAGGCAACCCATTTAACTGTTCCAGGTTAGAAATATTTTCCTAATGCCTACCCTAAACCTTGCTTGACAAAACTTGAATCTGTCCTCTCTTACCTAACAGTTATATACATAAAAAAAAGGGTATTCCCTTTCATATCTCTAACAACATTTTACATATTAAGACAACGACTCCATTTGCCCCTCATTTTATTTTACGACCAAGGAGATTCCTTCCCTCATTCCTAACAGGCCACATTACCCAATCTGCTGATTATCCCCATGTCCCTGCTGAGGTTCATACTGGTCTCTCGACCAGTGCCACACGCAACCCAGAGAGGTACTTTGAGCCCCATCCAGGTCATGTTTCATGTGCTCCAGCACAGTGTTTGGTTCCTCTGATGAAGCACAGCACTGCCAACTCACCTTCTGGTTGTGATGACGTATAAAACCCCAATCAAAACCAAAAAAATCACCCAAACAGAAAAAATCACAGAACAAACCTAAAAAATCCCAGTTACCATAAAAAGGGCCACAAGTCCTGTAGCTGCAGGCAAACTGACAGCTGGCAACGTTTTGGGAACTGCAGGGAATTTCCTAATATCTTGACAGAGAATCACAGAACTCTTAGGGTTGGAAGGGGTCTCTAGTGATCATCCAGTCTAGTCCCTCTGCCAAGGCAGAGCCACCTGGAGCAGGTGACACAGGAACGTGTCCACGTGGCTTTGGAATGTGTCCAGAAAGGGAGACTCCACGACTTCCCTGTTCCAGTGCTCTGCCACCCTCAACGTCAGGAAGTCCTTCCTCATGTTGAGGTGGAAGTTCTTGCGTTTTACTTCATGCCCATTACTCCTCGAATACTGGAGGCCGAGCGTGCTCAGCTCCTGCCGGCTGCATTGCCCGCTGGCCGCCGGGGCACTGCCGGCTCACAGTCAGCTTGTCACCCACCAACACTCCCAGGTCCTCTCTAACAATTAGCAACTACGAAGGCACATGCTAATTACGGTGGTTCCACGGGCAGCCCCGGCCCCCGCGGTCGCTCCGCTCCCCGGACCACAGGGGACCCCCTGCCCCGGTATCCTGCTCGCGAGTCTCCCGCCGGGCGGCATGGGGCGCGGGGTCCTGCTCGGGGGGCGCTTCTTGCGCGGCGCGCGGGGCGCCTGCGGATGCGCCGGCATCCTGACGCAGGCAGCGCCGGGACTGGGGGATGGAGAGGCGGGCGGCGGAGTGACAGGGGAGGTTGCGGGGGCGGGCGGGCACGCCCGGAGTGTCCTGCGGTGGGTTTGCTGTGCCCCGGGGCAAATAGGGGCATCGGTGCCGGGGGGGGCGGGCGGGGGTCGGTGATAGCGTTGCTTCGAGGGCTGAGACGTGTCGGCACCGGGGCGGGACGGTTTTTTCTGTCAGGCAGGAGAGGGGCAGCCTCGGGGCGGGAGCGGAAAGATGGGCGGCGTCCTGCGGCTGAGCGGGGAGCGGGGCGCTGAGGCTGCTCCGGGCCGGGCGGGCGGCGCTGGGTGCGGGGCTCCCCGTAGCCGGAGCGAGCGGGATGGAGGCACCTGCACGGCACCCGGGAGCTGCTGGGTGAGTGACAGGCCGCCGTGATGGCTGCTCTGCTGCGGATGTGCCTGCGGCGACCTGCGGCGGGGAGTGAGGAGTGAGGGCGGGTTGTTGCGGTGGATTGACCTTGGCTGGGTGTTTGGCACCCACCGCAGCCGCGCTGTTACTGCCTCCGCATCTGGACGGGGGAGAGAGGGTATAAGAGAAAGTTCATGCGTTGAGATAAGGGCAGTGGGAGGTCACTCAGCCACTGCTGTCGTGTGCAGAACAGACACGACTCGGGGATAGTAATTGGATTTATTACCAGTCGAAACCAGAGCAGGATAATGGAAAGTAAAGCAAATCTTAAAAACACTTTTCTCCTAGCACTCCCTCCCACCCCCAGCGGTGCAGGAAGACGGGAATGGAGGTTACGGTCAGTCCATCCCGGTTTGTTCTGGCGCTGCTCCGGTAGAGGAGTCGGAGTCCTTCCCCTGCTCCAGCCTAGGGTCCCTCCCACGGGAGGCAGTTCGTCCTGAACTGGGCAAGAAGTGAAGGCTGTGCAAGGGCAGGGAGCTATGAATGCCCGGTGTTGCCCGGTGGGGTGAGAGGCCGCTGGTGTTGGGCGGAAACTGAGCAGCAGTGATGGGGAGGTGGATGGGCTGGGTTTGTTTGGCAGGGTGCTCTTTGGTTTGGTCTCCCGTGGCCCTGCAAGTGCATTAGGATGCCTATGGGCTGAAAGGAGAAATTGCAGAGAGAGGTGAAAATTAGTAAAAGTAAAAACACCTGAAGGAGTTGGAATGTAGAGAGGAAAATGGAGTGAAGGGAGATGAGGCCTTCAAATATGAAAATGTTCTCTTGTGGATAAAAAGAAAAGTTTTCATGGAAAATAGGGGAGTGTTTTCTAGGTGTTAAGTATAGCTAAGCACTGAAAAAAAGAAACTTTTTAATTGGTTTAATTGGTGTTTTTTTTGGTCCATGTTTGGAGATTCCACCACACTTCTGTCCTCTTACTCTTCAGGTAATGTTTCAACTAATTAGAGAAGGGCATGGAATGTGTATTTTATGTAATTTTTTTTTCCTTTTTTTATTTTTTTATTTAACAGAGAAGTGGAGTTTGTATTTATTAATTGTATGTCTAGCATACACTTCCACATAGGAATCAAGGTGTGAGGTTATGACAACAACTTTTCAAGATGCATTTTTCAGTAGTTTTGTTGCAGAATTATCAGGCAGATCATCTATTGACCTTCCATATTTTCCTCTGTCTCTGAGAGATGTGGGAAGAGTTTTGGATGCTGAAATGAAATGTAATCTTTCCCTACTTGATCTGTAAGTTACAAGTTGTAAAACATTTAAACAATAACCAGGTGCATTGTTATGAGGTCCTGGTGTGATGCTGAGCATGAACTCTTTGGGTTTTAAGTGCACTTTTAAAGAAATAAGCTTGTGTAATAAAACTCAGTAGTAGTTCAGAGACTTTTTAGTGACTGTGGTTTAGATCTCAGTATTCCCTTCTTTCCAGCACTCGTTGCTTTTGCAGCTTTGCAGTATGAAAATCTTTTCCTTTTTCCAAAACCTGCTGTGTGTGATATAGGGAAGTCTATCCCTTTCTTGAAATGAGTGTTACTTATTTTCAAATTTTATTAGAAAAAATTTGCTTCTTTCTTCATATAGTATGTTTGTCTTTTTGCCCAATGCAGGATTACCTACCTTGAAATTAGTCTTGTTATTTAACTCTTTAGAGACCTCTTGTCTACAGTCCTTCCACACAATCTTTGTGGTGACTGTATTTTGTATCTAGTTGGAGTTAAATTTCTAAATTTGGATGTGGAAATGAGTGAAACCTTTTTTACTTCCTTACAGTAAGCTTTTGTGTTTTAAGGTGGATATATCACTCCTTGAACTCATTCAGTCTTTCCTCTCTGAACCCTTCTAATATTCCTTACAGCTTTTCAAGGTGGTGCATATCTTGGTGACATTGTCTTTCTTAAATGTTTATTGTGGCCTCTAAAATGAAAACAAAGAGAAAAACTCACGTTTTCTCTGGTAAACACTACAGCTCTTCTGGACATAAAACTCACTCTTGGTTCCTAGTTTGAGAATTTAAAGTTAAGTCAGTTTTATTTTAGCATTAGTTTTATTTTTTCTCTTTTCTATTTCTGAAAATACCACCATTTGAAGTATTGGCTCATATGGATCTAGTTTGGTTGTGTTACTTCAGTTTTTTGTTTCTCTCTGTGTTTCTTCCTTGTCTATGGTGGTGGTAGAGGAAAAGTTGTCTTGCATAATTAAAACAATTAATTCAAAATGGAATTCCTAGTTTGTTGGTCATAGGGAAGGAAGAAAAATAGAAAATAGAAAAAATAGAATGACCTCTTTATGTTAGAGGTTTGTCAATTTTTCGTTTGTTTTTAATGTATCTTAGTCTTAGAATTGGTACCAAGTTGAAGTAAATGTTTCAGTTATTGACTACAGAGTATGAATTAGGAAGTTATTCTCTCTGTGGAGCACATTAAAGCATTTCTCTTTAGTTCACTGCAGGCTTTTTTGGTATGAAAATGCTGTGATTGGTTCCATATCAAAAGGGGACAAGAAGAGGTAATAAAACTGTGTTACACTGAGTAAGTTTAAATACAAAATTCCCTGTCATTGGGATTCTTAGATTGTAGTTTATAGGAAATGATAGAGGTCTACTGGTCTGTTCTTCTCTTAAAGCCCTGCTCTTCTCACTGTTTGATATACAGCCTCAATATGCATTGAATCCCTTCATGGAGAAGGTGGAAAGCTGAGGAAAGATGAAGGAAAGAATTTTTTTGAGTTACCATTTTATTTGTCTGAATTCCCATTTAGTAGAGGTTTTGCAGTTTTTATGTAGTGTCAAGTGGGTTTATTCTGTGTGGCATGATTTTGTTTTAGTGGGACTGTTAGTAATAAGTAGTTAAGTGCCTGGGAAGATTGTTAACTACTGTATTGGCTATTAAAGATGTAGTCAGAGACCTTCTAGGTCAGTTTGAGTTCTGCTTCTCCATTACAGTTACCAATCCTGCTGTAGGGCACAATAGTAGAGAAAGTGGCAGTTTCTCATTTTTAGACTTGACATGTGCCTTAACTTTTTTTTAATTCCCCCTTCTACTTTGTATCCTTTTTTTTTTTTTTTTGACTTTTTAATGGGTACTTGCTGCTGAATCTTCTCTCCTGACTTGATCAAAGGACCAGAATGGACTGTATGTTTTGTGGTGGTTGCTCATAACATTGAAGGGAAAATGTTGCAGTTGCACAAATTTATTGCTCAGTTTTGTATTTATGCCAAAGTATGAAGCATGTTCTGGGAAATGGATCAAGTGACTCTTCGTGGAAGTGAAACATGTAAAGCACCGTGTTTAAAAATTAATTTTTTCCTCATTAAAAATGTGGATTATTTTCACTTTTTTTTCTGGGAATTCTATCCACTAGTTCTCAGTAGTCCTAGATATTTGTGGGATGTGACTTCAAAATAATGTTTTGATTGTCAAAGTTAGACTTGTTGAGTTAGACCAATGAAACTGAGAACACTTGTTTGCATCCTGTAATGTATTCTTTTTCTGCTTGCTGCTATCTGTTAATACTCTTTATGAGTAAATACATATAGTGTAAAGCCAATTGTTAACTTGTAACTTGTCAGTCATTTTTCAAATAGTACAAAACTATATTTAGAAAATGAACATAGATAGGCATTCACATACTTAATGTTAGCCCAATTTTTTTGTGTAATAGTCCAAGACGAGAGGTTGCAAGAATAAACTTTTTAAAGAAAATCCTTGAAGGTAATTCATATGGGACTTGTCAGCATTACAAGGAACATTGTCTGTATAAATTTCTAAACATTACCGTCTTGAGTAATATTAAACTGAAAAACATTTAAGTACCATGGTAAATCTGAGACAAAAAATATGTGTATTTGCTCATGCAGTCTTCTGGGAACATCATCCATGCAACTGGGCTGATTTCCACAAAATACAAGTGTTTGGGGGAGCATGATCCTGATTATGTTGCTGTCTGGGAGGGCTCTAGGGGGTAAATTACTCCGTTTCTGCTTTTGGTGCATTTTAAAATGTTGAGATCATTGATAGCTGCTTAGGTCATTAGGGGTTCACTACAGTGTTTCCATTTCACATTTTTTAAAAAATCACTGAAGGGTTTGGGTTGGAAGGTACCTTTAAAGGTCATCTAGTCCAACCCCCTGCAGTGAGCAGGGACATCTTCAGCTAGATTAGGTTGCTCAGAGCCCCATCCAACCTGGCCTTGAATATTTCCAGTGATGGGGCATCTACCAACTCTCTGAGCAACCTGTTCTTGCGTTTCACCAAAAATCTTCCTTATATCTGGTCTAAATCTGCCCTCTTTCAGTTTAAAACCATTACCCCTTGTCCTGTTGCTGTAGGCCCTATTAGAAGGTTTGTCTCCATCTTTCTTAGAAGCTCCCTTTAAGTATTAAAAGGCTGCAATAAGGTCTCCATGGAACCTTCTCTTCTCTGGACTGAACAACCCCAATTCTCTTGATGTTTCTTCATAGAAGAGGTGTTCCATCCCTCAT